TATGTTGGGTGTAAAGCCGCAAATACTGCATCAGCGTGCGGTTAGTCCGTTCGGTCTGGCCATCGGCCTCCGGATGGTTGGCGGTGGTCATGTTGTGGTCGATGCTGAGCTGTTGCATGAGGCTGCGCCAGAAGGCGCTAACGAACTTCGGATCCCTATCCGAAATGATGCGTTGTGGGAACCCGTGGACCTCCCACACATGATTAATGAATAGCTGAGCCATCCCTTCTACTGTTACTGTGATCGAGCAGGGAATAAAGTGGGCTTATTTGCTAAGCCGGTCGGCCAAGACGTATACGCTATCAAGGCCTCTGACGGATGTTAAGCCTACTATGCAATTCATGGATATGTCCCCCCATATCCTATCGGGAATAAGCAGGTTGTGCAGGATTCCAAGTTTGAGAGTGTTTCGCTGCGTTTGCTGCTGGCAGTCCGGACAAGAGAGGACGTATTCTTCGACTGAGGGGCGCATCCTAGGCCGCCAGAAGGACCTGGCAACACGCTCCACCGTGGTATTGACCCTACCACTACCTACTAAGGCATGATCATGCATTTTGCGCAAAACGTCGGTGGGAAGCGAGACTGGAAGTACAGTGTATGAGCATCACGCTTCGTGTGGTACCACAGGAGGTCGCCATCGATGCTGTAGTGCTTGATCCGTCACCCATTGTTGAGCTTAGCTAGAACTGCAGCTGCATGAGTANGCCATCGATGCTGTAGTGCTTGATCCGTCACCCATTGTTGAGCTTAGCTAGAACTGCAGCTGCATGAGTATCTAAGGAATAAGAGGAACGCAACTTGGAGAGAAAGCGAGAATCATCACAGATAGGTGACGTTGCAGAACATTATGCCTGACCTGTAGGGCGTCTGGACAGTGTGTCGGCGACCCCGTTGGTGATACCCTTGATACACTTGACGGTGAAGTCATACTGCTTGGGGCGGGAGAGCCACCGAACGACTCCTTCGTTATCGTAGCCTTGAAAACTCTTCGTCAGGTGTGTCAGCGATTGATGACCGCCCTGGATCGTGAAGTGCCTGCCGTACAGCTAATGTCGAGATTTTTAGCACCCCACAAGACCGCGAAGAGCGCCTTTTCCCTGAGCGGATACTTTTGCTCCCTCTCTATGAAGCGTTGTGTGTAGCAGGCAATTATTTGGTGCTTTTTCTATCCACTATCCTGCTGAGAGAGCGTAACCCCGACGGCGGTGTCACTGGCATAGGTTGTAAGGAAAATCAGGGAACGCGAGCACTGCGGATGATGTCGGGTGCCCGATGAGTCGTCTGGCGGCTTCATCATCGTCCAAATAAACTACTTCTGCTTCTTAAGAAGATCAGTAAGAGAGGCAACAATGCGAGCGAATCCATGAATGAAATTGCGGTAGTATGAGGCGAGCCCGAGGGACTTCTGCACGTCCGTCCGCTTGTACATAGGTAGCGGCCATCGCTGAATCGCCCCAATCTTAGCCGGGTCTGGTTCAACCCCTGCTGCAGAGGCATGACATCGTAAGAAGCTGATTGTATGCATGAAAAACGAACACTTTTGCGGTTTCACAAACCACTGTTTCTTACGTAGTAGTTGCAGCGCCCGCCGGAGATGCTGCAAGTGCTCCTGCACATTTCGGCTGAATACAAGCACATCATCCATGTATATCACCCTCCACCCCTCATTCATTGGCCCCAGGAAGTCGTGGTTGACCTGCCGCTGCCGTTGAGCAGGTACGTTCACGAGGCTAAAGGGCATACAACTGTACTCCAACTCGTCAGTGCGGGTGTGGTGTGCCGCCTTGTGCCTGTCCACCGGATGAATGGAGATCTGCAAAAAGGCCTCGGCGAAGTCAAAGTCTGAGTATACCGTCGAACCCCGTAGACGGTCAAGGATGTCGTCGACCCTGGGAATCGGAAACTTCTGCTTCACTGTAATTTTGTCGAGTGGTTTGAAGTCGATGCAGATGCGCCACCTGCCTTCCTTTTTCTTTGGCAGCACGGGATCGTGCCCAAAGGCGCTAGTTGACGGTTGAACCTTGCCCGTCTTTAGAAGGTCATCCGCCTTCCGCTCAATTCCCTCTTCAAGATCTGAGGGTCGCCTGTACCTTGGGATGAAGCTTGGGGCTGAGCCGCGAATGAGTTCCATGCGGTGCATAGAGCGTCGAGCGGTTGGCCTTACCGCCGGTAGCTCTTGTTATTGAGTACATCTGAGAACTCTTCTTTCAATTTTGTCCACTTCTGCCGCTTCTCGGGTGTTAACTGGATCGAATCCCCCAAAACTGCTGTCTTTACCAGGCTTTCATAAAGGAGTGCATGCATATCTCTGTCGTTCTCTTCAGTGCCTCTGCAATGCGTGGGGGCCTCGTCACTCCCTTTTCCTTCGGAGACAGTCTCCACACCTCTGGGCATAGAAGTTGCAAATGCCATTGGGCGAGCTTGGAGGTGCACACTCTCATCANATGGCATCATCAGAGGAACGGATTTGCGCCTTCCACTGGGTCACCCACGGCATGCCTAGGATCATCTCGTGGTGAACAGGTCCAGCGTAGAAGTCCCTCGTCATAGTAATGTGCCCTGTCTTGGAACTAGGAGAGCATCTTACGCCCATAGTTTTGCTGATTCTTGTATGCTGCCTGCCATCTGCGAAGCGTAGCCTCAGGGACTGCGCCAATGAGTAGACGGGTAGGCTGCACCTCCGTGCTGCGGCTACCGTTATCAGATCCACTTCGCATCCTGTATCGAGTAGCGCCAGTAAATCCTGCCCATTCACTCGTACTTATACAAACACTGAATTCGTAGTTAGCTGTCAGGGGCAGCTGAGCAGAAAAATAGAAAAATTTGCAGAGACCTGACCCGAGGTCCATTAGCAGCTAGGCGTCCGTTGCCTGCTTCCTCGATCAGCTTGCCTGCATACACCGGGTGTAGGTGCTGGAAGGCTAAATAGAACGTGTAGCTGTTCTGGGGCGATCGCTTCCCGTAGGCGATCCTCAGAAGCCCACTCAGGGTCACGGGCGCCTGGCCTATTTTGCTGTTGACCCCCGCATTTTGGGGCTGGGCCGTTCGCGGGTCACACTTCTATGGAAGGTTACAGAGTAAGTAACAATAGATACTTCAATAGTTTCGGATGCCCGGTCGGAAAAGCTGCTCCGAACACAATTCTGCAGACTTGTATGACCAGTGGCCACGCTACTGAGACGGTAAAGACGCTGCCTACAGGTAGCTAGCGCCAGCAGTGCAAGAAGGGTGCATCGCTGGGTGCT